TTTAATATAAATTGACAAGCTACAAGTATGATTTAAAGCTCTGTTAGATTAAAGCAATCTTTGTTTGCAAAATACGAACTACAGTCGCGGTAAAATGCTTCAAGTATAAAGCTTGATATTTGGCTCGGCTTTTGGGCAGTTTGTATTCTTCTGGGGCCGGTTGTATCAAGCCCGTTTAGCTTAAACGGTGGATAATAAAGCTCAAAATAGAAAGCAAGTCTATCGTTTTATTCAACAAGCAAACAAAATGTTTTTAACCTTAATACAAAGATACTGTTTACAACTACATATTCAGTGCATAATATTCAAGTTGACTCATTCAAGAGAGATGTAAAAGTGTTATTTAACTTTGACTTATCCACCGTTTAAGCTAAACGGGCTTGATACAACCGGCCTCAGATCGCTTTTGATAAAGCCTAATCTTCTCTGAGGGAAAGTTAAGCTTCATTGCAACGCAATTTGCAAAGGCGTAGGTTTAATTTTTGCCTTGGAAACTTGTATGATTACAAACTTTCCTCAAATCTTTCTGGCTTTAAAATATGTATAGTCAGTGGGCCTCGATTGATACCTTGGAAATTGGCAAGACTTCTCACCGCAATTCTCAATACTTTGGCTTCAAATTTGGTGAGAAAAAAGCTTTATAAATACTCAACAAAATATGTCTTGCACAAAAGGTCTGAAGCTTGCACACAATCGTCTGAATTAATAACCTTGTTTATACTTAAGCTTCAAAATGGCCATTTCACAGCTGTCAGATGTGTATGATGAGCTGTCAAAAGATTGTAGAATGCGTATCCGGAAGAAATATTGAACTTTTTAAAGTTATTCAATAGTTTTCTCTTTGATAGCGATACAGAAATGCACAATTGGCAAGTGTCTATTTGGCCATCTCTGTAAAAGTTGCAATCTTAACATTAACTTTAATTTTCATTCCAGGTAATTTTGGCTGACGATATTATGAGGCTGCCAGCACCGTTACGAAGATTCCTTGCTGAATCAGAAGATGAGGTCTACTTTCTTATCCGCCTGTTGATATTCACCGTCAATGTCATTGCGTGGATATTTTCGATTTTCTTCATATGCATTGGAATATGGATTCTTCAGGAGAAAAATAATCTGGGTGTTGACAATTTGAGTTCAGACCCGGCCGCAGTGCTGATTGCGATTGGTACCATATTGTTCCTCATCACCTTCACCGGTTGTATCGGCACTTTGAGAGAGAATTTGTTTCTTTTGAAAGTGGTGAGTCAGTAGACATCTCTTTAATACAGACATCTCTCTAATACAGACATATTTCTAATACAGACATCTTTCTAATACAGACATCTCTCTAATACAGACACCTTTCTCTAATACAGACATCTCTCTAATACAAACATCTCTCTAATACAGACATCTCTCTAATACAGACATCTCTCTAATACAGACACCTCTCTAATACAGACATCTCTCTAATACAGACATTTCTCCAATACAGACATCTCTCTAATACAGACATCCCTCTAATACAGACAACTCTCTAATACAGACATCTCTCTAATACAGACATCTCTCTAATACAGACATCTCTCTAATACAGACATCTCTCTAATACAGACATCTCTCTTATACAGACATCTCTCTAATACAGGCATCTCTCTAATACAGACATCTCACTAATACAGACACCTCTCTAATACAGACACCTCTTTAATGCAGACATCTCTCTAATACAGACACTTCTCTAATACAGACATCTCTCTAATACAGACATCTCTCTAATACAGACATCTCTCTAATACAGACATCTCTCTAATACAGACATCTCTCTAATACAGACACTTCTCTAATACAGACATCTCTCTTATACAGACATCTCTTTAATACAGACATCTCTCTAATACAGACACCTCTCTAAAACAGACATCTCTCTAAAACAGACATCTCTCTAAAACAGACATCTCTCTAAAACAGACATCTCTCTAATACAGACATCTCTCTAATACAGACATCTCTCTAATTCAGACATCTCTCTAATACAGACATCTCTAATACAGACATCTCTAATACAAACATCTTTGAAGACAATCATCTCTCTATAACTTTCTAATATGTGGATAATCTTTTCTTTGCAGTACTTGGGAATGATTGTAGTCCTGTTTATAATTGAAATTGTGACGGGTCTGGTTGCATTTCTATATGCCAACAAGGTAATGGTTACTACAGTACAAAGTAAGATTGGAATATGAACTTTACGTATTACCCCCAAGAGTCTGTTTAATGTTCTTGGTATTTTCTTAGACAGAGGACAGAGTGTTTGAGGTGATAAAAAAAGGTATTATGGAGTACCATGATGATCCTGACTCAAAATTCCTGATGGACGAATTGCAGAAGAAATTTGAATGTTGTGGGGCCTATTCCTTCAATGACTGGGAGCACAATGCTTATTTCCAGTGCTCATCTGAAGATGTCCTGGCTTGCGGAGTCCCGTTCTCTTGCTGCATAACTGTAAGTTACTAGGAGGCATTAGCTTGCAATGCACCCAGATGTGACCTACTTTAGTATTTTACTCTGTCTAATGTCAGATGATTTTACTCATCAGTGGAAGAGTACTGTCAGTTAATAAGTTAACAAAACTATCTGTCAGTGTCTCTTGTTAACCCATTAGCTTGCAATGCACCCAGATGTGACCTACTAAAAATAATATATTCACATAAACTGTAGGTGGGGAAAAACAGTCAATGTGGTTTTGGAATCAGAAAAAAAGATGTAAGTGTAATCTGATTGGGTTACTGAAAATCTAAAGAAACTTGCTGTTTGATCTAAAGCAAAATCCCCCCTTGTCGTCTGACCATTAACTATATGATAATGTGATTTATTTCAAGGAAATTGAGGCAAAGCATGTTGTGTACACAGATGGTTGTATTACCAAGCTAAAATGGTGGATTAATGATTATCTGCACATCATTGGAGCACTTGGCTTCGCTTTTGCCTGTGTACAGGTATTGTACTGTATGATAGAGTTATCCAGTATAAATAAATTAGTTTAGTTTAGGTTTCCTCCTGTAGTAACACTGGATCAATAAGAGATGATCCTTACTGGACCTCTAGGAAGAACAGTTTAGAACTGATAGAGTTATCCAGTATAAATAAAGTTAGTTTAGGTTTCCTCCTGTAGTAACACTGGATCAATAAGAGATGATCCTTACTGTACCTCTAGGAACAATTAGAAACAGTCTAATTACTCGTTTTTTTCCAGCTTTTCCTAATTCTGATTGTGAACAAACTTATAATGGATCTTGAAGAGATATCAAAGACAACTGGTCATAAAAACGAGCTCACGAATTCGAATGAAATAACTAGTGGAGTCTAGCTGGAAATTCTTTTCAGCCCGACAAAACTTTGTCATCAGATCCGGCGACATCCAAGCCCAAGGTACGAAGCGTTGTGTGCCGAAAATGTAGTTTTAATGATTGTGATGATTCCCCAGCTTGGTCCAAACACGGTGATAATGCTGAAAACCTACGCGATGTTTTCTCTGTTGGTATATTTGTTCGACGGTCCTACTAATAACCGACAACAACCGACAACAAGCTAAAAATTACCGACAGAAAGCTTATTATCATCGACAACGATGAAATAGACGCTAATAAAGGATCTCTTCGACTATATTGGTAAAAAACACGAATTTCCCGTCCAAAATTCCCGTCTTGTTGTTTTTGTATGCTTCCACTGAGATGATTCCTGGCTGGTTTCCTAAACGCCAAATTGGCGTTTTTCAACCTGGTTTTGCCAACCTAATTTGCTATTTATAATCGTGCTTTTTAGTCAGAGAAATAATGAACAATTAGGAACCAATTGATAGCACGATTAACACTATCTGAAAACGACTTCATTCAATCAAAAAAGAATCGTAAAACTAGCAAAATCTTGTGAAAATGAAACGACAAAGACTTTCTTTCTGACTTTCAAGTTTGAAGCCATATAAGCCTACATTTACAAAGAGTTGGCATTCGCTTCGCTGACAAACACTTTGCTAACGTTACTCAGATCTTTGGTAAACTTTCTGCCATATTTTTTTTGGCAATTTATCCAAGAAATACTCTTCCAAGATGGCGGCCGGGTTATTAACATTCACTAAACATTGGTAAAGTCCGAACATTCAAAGATTGATTTTGAGAAATATGGTTGAACTGCATTCATTGATTTCCTTCCTGTGGGTCTTGCAAGAAACTGAGCCAATAATCGATTAAATCGTCGTTTGCCGCAAGATATATTATATAATATAAACTAGCTTTAAGTCTTAAGATAAATAAAAATATGTAACATGATTTTGTAATATATAGATGTTAAAATTCTTTCAAATTAAAAGAAATAAATTTTCAGTGAACTGATTTTTCTTGACAGTCGATAAATTTCTATTACCATAACACCAGGCAGTATTTTGAGGTATATTTTATTACACAGCAATTGTTTTAGGGTAAATATTTATTCGTATATATTGCAAATGAAATCTATAATTCATTACAAATATTGTACATCAGTGAAAGATATATATTTCTATTTTTGAACACCAAAACCTCTGTTTAAATATATGATAAGTCAAATCAAGATACACTGTATTCATATAAACAAAGTTATCAAACTCTGATCCGTCAAACAGCCAAGCGGTCCTTTGCGAATTTTATTTGGATCATATGAATCCTTGACTCAGCGAATCCTCGACGAAATTGTCCCGGGTAAGCAATAATTTTTATGAAATTAAATATCGTCGCAAGAAAATATTTCCTGCGTGAAAAGTCTTTAAATTGTTTTTAAATCTATAAACAATTTATTTCTGATTAAGCGCAAAAAACTAATATATATTATCTAGGTATTTGTTGACAAAACGTATTCGACACTTCACGTGGAGATTTGTGTGTTTTCATGTGTACATAACCTATATAATTTCCCTGTTCGTTTTTCTTATACAATTAGTTCGATTTTTTTAAATACCAAGTGATCCCGCGCATATATTTAGCCAGTCAACCGCTGGCTCAGAAGGAATGTCAAAATAGAAAACCATTCTGCAGAATTTAACCAAATATATCCTATGTTATTCTTTATGAAACCATTCGAAATTTTGTGATTATGTTTAGATATAAGAACTATAGCTTTGATATGAATTTGAAACCGAAGTAAAGTGTGTTTCAAGAGATATTAAATTGTTTCAACCGAGAAATGGTTTTTATTTGACAACTCGTCCCGGTCCTTTCCCGCCATTTTAGATCACCCGGTAAGATTGGTCACGTGGTTAAGCTGGGTTTCCGTTATTTCCATTGTGGGTAACCATCATCCATTTCGCACTCGCTGGTCCAAAACCTTTTAAATCTTCGCTGCCTTCAGTCGCTTCCTTCAACTTTTCCATCCAGGATTCGTAGAATTCCTCATACTCTCGTATTAACTGACGAACTTTGTCAGTTTTCTGCTGAATCAGCTCGATTTGAGCACGGTCTTCATTTTGCATTGGTGGGTTTTGAGAGAGTCTGAATCCAATCAACGACTCAAAAATACTTTTCTTTTCTTTTTTTTTCTTCGCTTTCGGTGCTCTGTTCGTTTCTGAAAATAAATTAATTTCATAATGTTGCATTCAGTTGCTATATAGGGATCAGCGAACATTGCATTCAGTTGCTATATAGGGATCAGCGAACATTGCATTCCGTTGCTATATAGGGATCAGCGAACATTGCATTCAGTTGCTATATAGGGATCAGCGAGCATTGCATTCCGTTGCTATATAGGGATCAGCGAACATTGCATTTAGTTGCTATATAGGGATCAGCGAACATTGCATTTAGTTGCTATATAGGGATCAGCGAACATTGCATTTAGTTGCTATATAGGGATCAGCGAACATTGCATTCAGTTGCTATATAGGGATCAGCGAACATTGCATTCAGTTGCTATATAGGGATCAGCGAACATTGCATTCAGTTGCTATGTAGGGATCAGCTAACGTTGCATTCAGCTACTATATACGGATCAGCTAACGCTGCATTCAGCTACTATATAGGGATCAGCTAACGTTGCATTCAGTTGCTATACAGGGATCAGCTAACGTTGCATTCAGCTACTATACAGGGATCAGTTAACGTTGCATTCAGTTGCTATATAGGGATCAGCTAACGTTGCATTCAGCTGCTATATAGGGATCAGCTAACGTTTGATTCAGCTACTATATAGGGATCAGCTAACATTGCATTCAGTTGGCTATATCAGGATCAGCTAACGTTGCATTCAGCTACTATATAGGGATCAGCTAACGTTGCATTCAGCTACTATATAGGGATCAGCGAACGTCGCATTCAGCTACTATATAGGGATCAGCTAACGTTGCATTCAGTTGCTATATAGGGATCAGCTAGCGTTGCATTCAGTTGCTATATAGGGATCAGCTAACGTTGCATTCAGCTACTATATAGGGATCAGCTAACGTTGCATTCAGCTACTATATAGGGATCAGCTAACGTTGCATTCAGCTACTATATAGCGATCAGCTAACGTTGCATTCAGTAACTATATAGCGATCAGCTAACGTTGCATTCAGTAACTATATAGGGAACACTAAGCTATATTAAAATTTGTCTGTCTGTTTGTTTTGTCTGTTTATTTCTTCGTCTATTTATTTGTTTGTCTGTTTATTTGTTTGTCTCCCTGTCTGATTATTTGGTTATTTACTTTGTGTAGTTATTTCTTGTTTGGTTTGTTTTCATGCGCCAAAAAACTTGCTGCGTACGCCAAAAACTTACTGCATATAATTTTGGAGATAAAGAACTCCCAAATTATTCCAAGCAAGAAGAAGCCTCCTAGAAAGCCAGCAAGTGCGTACAAAATCATATGAAAATCTTTTTCACCCAAGAATCCTTGCGAGGCGATCAATTCCTCGCTTACGTCATCTGTCGGATTCTACGAATAAAACAACGAGAATGATTGGTGGAACAACGATGAATTTCGTTTCAAACTAATCGGGAAATTTTGTTACGTTTTTCAAGCTAAGCCAATCAGAATGCCTGAATTTTTAATACTTCATGTAAAGTGTTGAATTATTTGTTTCGTTTACGATTGTAACAAAGCGTTCCTTTACCTTTAACGGATTTAAATTCTGTCGAATACTTTCAAAAATATCCTGGGGATTGTTTTTGATGTATCTTATAAAGCACTGGGTAAAGTTCTCTGAGTTTGGTGCTAAGGATAGGCCATAGTTGATTGGTAGTTCTTCGTTTGCCTTGACTCTAACTGGTTCACGTTTGATGACTTCATGGTAATAGGATAAGAGATAACTGTCCATTATTGCGACTTCCAGTGATGTTGTATCGACCAGAGCCTCGACGACATCCTTTGGTGTGTCAAAAGCTGTGACGATAGAAAGAAATACGAATAACGTCGCGTTTCAGTTCATTCAGGGCTCACATTAATTTAAGTTTGAACTGACGTGGCTACCCTCATTAAATAAAGTTGATTTGATATGAATAAAAATTTCAAGTCTTCCCAAGTTGACGAGACAGGAGTGTCCTACTCTATCTGTGTTTTTAGTAAAAGTTTCAAATATCCTACTTTTGATTCCAGCGTTCATTCCAGTTCCAATTCTTTCTTCTTGACTACCATCGACAGCCCCCATCTGAAAAAATAGAATTTCTTTCTGTGCTAACAAGATCAACAGCTAAGGTAAAGATGCATTCTTAGTTTCGATAAAGGTGTGATTCGGGTCCTACCTTCGAGCCGTGGACAACCAAACGATACTCAATGCTGGCTGAAAGCGACGCGGTCACCATTGCAGTTAAAATGGCGATGATACTCATTCCAGTTATAATCCAAATCATGCAAAACAGGCGACCTAATATGGACCTTGGTGCGCGGTCACCGTATCTAATAACATCAGAGAAACGTAAGAATATAAGCTAAATTTTAAACCAAATTTATCCCTGAATCTGGAACGGAAATCCTAAATATAGGTAAATTGTAAAATTCGTCGGAATATTTTGAATGCGGCAAATATAGGCTCTGCTAATATAGGCTCTATTTTCTCTTAGATTTATTTACAATGTTTAGTTTGAAATAATCGTTCCTGGCAAACGCTTACCCCACTGTTGTCATGGTAACAATAGCCCACCAAAATCCTTCCCAGACTCCTTCCGTAAATTTCATTGGAAATTCGTCTGGATTCTTGAAATGATCCTGTGAGAATTGTAGTGTTAATAGACCAGCGTTTTTGAATTGCGTTGCCTTGTGTTTATTGCGTTCCGTTGCGTTGCGTTGCGTTGCGTTGTGTTTCATTGTGTTGTGTTTATTGCTTCCTTTCCGTTGCGTTGTGTTTCGTTGTGTTTATTGCGTTTTATGTTGCGTTGTTTTTATTGCGGTTTCATTGCGTTCTGTTGTGTTTCATTGCGTTCTGTTGTGTTTCATTGCGTTGCGTTGCGTTGTGTTCTATTGCATTGTGTTTTGCGTTCCGTTAGTCTCTGCGTTGCGTTTCATTGCGTTGCGTTTCATTGCGTTGCGTTTCATTGCGTTGCGTTTCATTGCGTTGCGTTGCGTTGTGTTCTATTGCATTGTGTTTTGCGTTCCGTTTAGTCTCATTGCGTTGCGTTTGCGTTGCGTTTCATTGCGTTGCGTTGCGTTGTGTTCTATTGCACGAGTGCGTTGCTCATTGCGTTGCGTTTCATTGCGTTGCGTTGCGTTGTGTTCTATTGCATTGTGTTTTGCGTTCCGTTTAGTCTCATTGCGTTGCGTTTCATTGCGTTGCGTTTCATTGCGTTGCGTTGCGTTGTGTTCTATTGCATTGTGTTTTGCGTTCCGTTTAGTCTCATTGCGTTGCGTTTCATTGCGTTGCGTTTCATTGCGTTGCGTTGTGTTTTATTGCGTTGCGTTGCGTTATGTTTTGCGTTCCGTTTGTTTGATTGCGTTGTGTTTCGTTGCGTTGCGTTCTATTGCGTTGCGTTGCGTTTAATTGCGTTCTCTTGTGATTTATTGCGTTGCGTTGTGTCACGGGCTTACCAATGTCCACATGAACATTCCAGACAATATGGCCGCGAGAACGATAAACAGCAGAATAGGCCAGGCCATCCCAACCGTCTGGAACAACTCAATTGTTCGTCCTCGTTCTTATCGGTTTCCGGTACGACCAAAGTCGTCCTTGGCGCGACCAACAGAGGCACGACTGCAAGGTTTTAAATTCCTTGATATCCATGCTTGTAGTCCGATGGGAAACATATATGGGGACCCGTCCCATAAACTCTTCTCCAGTTCCTTGAGAGTTTTAATATAGTGTCCGTAGACGACATGCGTGTTCGCATGGCAACATTCTTTCAAAACATTGTTTATCACGCTTGGAAAGATCCCAGTCAATCCAACTCCATCGTTGTTGGTGATTTGCTGGTTTCACCGGATCCATAAGGACCATAGTTGGTCCACGGACAGACAACGGTAGACCGCGATTACAACGTTCGTCTAAACTCATATTTCCCATCGGGAGCTGGCAGCGAAGGTGATGTTGTAACGATGAAATTCTTCCGGTTGTGTCTTCGATTTCACGTCGTTTAAGCGAAGAAAATATATCGTGTTTGCTGATAGGCTTCGTAACAAATGGCATTTGCAAAGCCATCGTGAAAGACGATGCCCCGACGAGGCAGGCTGTGAGCCAGAGTACTTTAGCGCAGACACCCCTCATTACTGAAATAAAACGAAACACCGTTAAGTTAAATAGTTGTAGGAATTTGAGATATATATTACCCACCATTGGATAGCTCTATCAGTTCTAAACTGTTCTTCCTAGAGGTCCAGTAAGGATCATCTCTTATTGATCCCAGTGTTACTACAGGAGGAAACCTAAACTAAACTAATTCATACTGGATAGCTCTATCAGTTCTAAACTGTCCTAGAGGTCCAGTAGGATCATCTCTTATTGATCCAGTGAGGAAACCTAAACAACTAACTTTATTAATACCGAATAGCTCTATCATTCCTAAATGTCAGCTTCTTCTAGAGGTCAAGTAATAATCTTATTATAGTCGTTAAAAGCTCGAACTCTTAATTAAGACGTTTAGTTGTAGCATCGGTACCGCAATCCAGCGGTAATGCTTGAAGCTCAGTAAATTTATCCTCTCGACAGTAGTGTCTCAGATTAATGTCACGAAGTAGGTTTGTTCTCTACGATCCGAGCCTGAACACTGCATTATTAGTGGAAACAGGTCTTTAATTAATACAACACCTCAAAACAAGCCAGCCATTGATACATTAAACATTCAATGCACTTTGGACATAGTCATAGCGACTTTAAAATTTGTTAAATATAACATCTCGAGTCTAATTCAGGAGCAGAAAAATACACCGTCCTTGCAATCGCAACAAGGTATATCTACTCGTATCTAACAAGATGTTGTTCTAATCTTAAAAGATAGCCGAAAATTGGTTCGCAAGTGATGATGAATTAAGGGCTTTTTATCAAGCAGCGATATTTAACGTATATAATCAAATCTATCCAGCAGAAGGCCTATTTGAATTTTTTAACACTAGTAAATTTTTAACAACATTAGTCTTTTTATTTTCACCTCTTTGTCCCTCGAAACCGTTCTTCGCTTCTCCTAAGCACGTCTAGTTTGCAATGAATGATCGTTTATGAAATAATTTTACGACATGGAAATAGCCACCAGACGTTAAAATACATCACAAGATTACACACGCAAACTCGTATAAGATATTACTTAATATGTGCCAAGGAAGTTGATATAAGATTTTAAGATTCCTGAATTTTACCCAATAATTCCATCTCACAAAAAAACTAAGCTCTTAAATGCTTGAATATGTGAAATATTTTACAGCCAAGTCTGTAACGCTGAATTCTATACAATCATACAGAAATAGCAATAATACTTCATAACATACCCATGCTGTCGTTTCTAAAAGCGTTTGCGTGTTCATATTGTCTTCATTTGAACGGTCCATAGCGCTTCAGGAGACGAAATTATTGATGCAACCAAATCGTGTATATTCTGGTAAATAAAACAGGACAAGCTTCGATCTGTCGCGTCGTGTCTCAATGCAAATTCACAGTCAATATTTTTTCACGGATTTGAATAACTATCGACTGGCGTAAATCGCAATTAAATTTCGGCAAACATGAAACGACAATGACTTTTATCGGGAATCAGATATCTACATCTGAATTCTAACGTATGTATCCTGCCGAAATGCGAATTAAAACAGGCTGGCACGAAACTATATACCTCATACATTAACCACGCGATCAGCAACGAGCTACGATTTTGAGCAAACAGTTTTAATAATTTGCAATTTAGAGACATGAATGGCGCAATTTTGCGTGCAAAATAAAATTACTTTGATTAAAAATGAGACAAAAAGGTTCGCTAATATCTTCATTTTCACAAGCCAAGTTTAGAAAACATGCTTCTAAGTTATGCACTCAAATGAACCCCGATGAGATATTGCAGGTTTCAAAACAATACAAATAACGGCGAAACTTCTTTTATGATATAAATGCGAGGCAGGTGTTTTCCGCCTAACGTGCGCGCGGGCTCGTTTTACGCAGCGGTATGCTCACAGCAAGACGTCCAGATTTTCCGATATCCTTAGAAAGTGGATTTTCACTTTCCGAAAGATTTCTAGTCGAAATTCAATTTTGAAAGCTATTTTCGAACAGAATATTTAAGTAAAGGCTTAGAATATATTATTCCTAATTTCGACCAAATTGTCTACTTAAAATTGTTTGTAAAATGCTTTTGAAATTGCATTCAATTCTGCGGCAAATATTTGAATTATCCCAATCCTCGAGGCGCCAAATAATTCGTTGCTTTTTACAGGAGCGTTTTCTCGAATATTCGAGCTCTTTATTTCAGTAAAATTATATAAAAACATCGTGCAATTCTTCGGGATATTTTTGAAATAATATTCAAGTAAAGAACGAGGAATTTCAACGCGTGTCCAAGGAATTCGTGATTGTTATTTGCTAATTCTATGTCAATAGAATTTTCGGTCAATTTTCGGATCTTCCAGATGACTCATTATCGGCTGTTCGCTGAACTATATTAAGAGTGGATTTTGAGGCTAGGTTTTGCCGAAAATCTTTCTCGTTAAACGAAATTTTTTTCTCAAAAACATCGCGTTAAGAATCAATATATTTCGGCCAGTAATTTGAAAACACAGACCGTTTCATTTACATTTCCTAATGAGCAACGACAATATTACTAATGGCAATAATAATTGTTAATCTTTATGACTAATCATTTTTGTTTTACTTCGTGAAACGAATTCGTTTTTATTGGCATTAGATATTCTTTGTTTTCGACAGACAAAAAAGCACGATTTATTTCAACTTAGATGCGAAACTTAGTGTTTATTTATAGTTTATTTAAAGGTTTCTTTAGTCGTAATACTGCAGTGTTTTATGTGTGTTTAAAGGAGAGACTATTCAAAAGCAATATTCACTTACACCAGTCGTTCTACCAAACGATATGAACTGAATTTGCAGGAGTAATGGTTAAAATTCTTTCCATTTCGCTGTATATATAACGAATATAGATTCATTCTGTACGGCAATGAATTTATTCATTCAAATACACAATCAAATTTACATTCTATATTTCGATTTAATTCTGAGTCATCTACAGGAGATAAAATCGTAGCTACAAGAAATATATCTTGTAGGAATTTCATCTCCTGATCTCCTTAATATACAGAGTTTAA